GATGATAAAAGGATCAAGGGCCCAGTATGGTGAATCATAATGTGATAAGACAATCACACTTGGGCAGAAGATGTTGAGACAAAGGCCACGTGGATGGTTTATGCACATCCCACGACTTGAGTATGTCTAGTCGATAAGTTTTCAAACGTTTCACGCCCCCCGCCGAGTTCAGTTGATCACAGTACATTTAATGCAAAAAAGTAACAGACACAAAGGGTATTCTTTGTAGTATTTCAGTAAAAGTCTGAGCAGCTCATTCTGAAGTGGGGGCTAGATGATATAGTACCTAGAGTAGCTCGGTCGACTGACCTGGATGGTTAGCTTGGGATGGGACGTACAAAAGAGCTCAAGCTCGGTATCAACATTTGACCTAGTCAGGAAGCTCGTCAGGCCGACCTAATAAGAAGATCAGGAGGCCGGCCTTCAGGAGATTAAATACATAAGGGGATCTCATCACCCCAATGGTCGTGAAGATAGAGGTCGTGGTTACGACCAGGTTACAACTTATGGTGAGTAGGTGGCGAGGTCGTTCAGACGACATAAGGACCTAAGTATCATATGGTAAGTGAGGATAGAATCCTTTAAGGATGGACATCATATCTCAGTAAGGAGTCTCAGATACTAAAGACGCGGTAAGCTAGGAATGTTGGTACAGTTTGATCTCTTTCCTAGTGGAGACTCTTCTTGGGCATCAAGATACCCTATTATATAAAGGGTGATCAAGTTCTATTATATTTTGAACAAACATTTATGCACGTAAGTTTACAGTAAACATACTTTCCCACGAGCAAATATTGACTTGAGCATCATAGTATTTTCTGCCGGGACTCCTTGATGACGGATCGTGTTGTTATCTATTCGGTGGATGTGAATAAACGCGCACTAGGGCCTTCGTTTATCCACGATAGGTGTATCTAAAAGACGCACTCAGGGCCTTCTCCTAGATACCGTGACTTCAAGACGCACTAACGGCCTTCTCTCCGACACTGTATGTAAACACGCTCTAACGGCCTTCTTTAAACATACGTAAGAACATCAAGTTCCCCCTTATGAGATTCACTCATCAATTCCAAGACTCAACATCTTTATTAATGAAGAGGTACATGGGGTATTTATAGGTGCAAAATAAATCTAAGCCTAACTATACTAGATCTCCTAAATCTTGCAATAATAGAAATCCTAACACTAGAAAGCAATAAAATCCTACCACTACCAAAATACTATTGCTTGGCTTGCACACCAAGCAATTCTAGAAGCTCCAAGTCTTCCACACGCCTCAACCCTTTCTCCGCCTCAACATATGTGCCGCCCTCACGCCTTGCCCTAGTCCTCGAGGACTAGGGCTGCACCGCCTTCGCCCATGTATGTCCTCTCACCTCGAGGCTTAAGGCCTCGCGCCACACAT